GGAGAAACCGGCCAACAGCTGGCCTTTGTGATTGAACAACATCCCACCTATGCCACATTTCCAATCATCTTGGGGATTGTAGCAGGCATCAGTGAAGAGATACATGGGTCTTTGGCCATCCTCGCTGATGGCACGAGGACTGGAATTCTCGAGCATCCATGCAAAATTCTCCAAGGCGGTCGTGCACGTAGGAGGAAGAAGAGGGGGTGAATCCCCGTAGGCATAATCCGTCAAGATGGACAGAAAAACACGGAATTGCCGCCCAGCACTTGTCCACACGCAAACTGAAGTTGCCCTCGGAGTTTGAGCGCCTCCGGCACAGTCATGCTACCCTTGGCCAAGAAACCTCGAATGGCCTCTAGCAGCTGCTGAATTCGTTTTTCTGTGTTGCAGATCGTGACTCTGCCCAGGCGCATATCAGACAGGACGAAGCAGACGCCCAAAGCGCTAAAGGCCTCTGAGTAGGCTTGGCTCTTGGAACCATCCTTGGCAAAAACCCATCCCAACAAGGTGAAAAAGGCATCGATGGTTCTGTGCGTAAAATCGGTGTGCTCCGCATCCGAAAGGGAAATTAGGTCGGCGTAATAACATGACCAAATTAGCCAAAGGAAAAAGGCTCCCAAATGCCAGACCGAGTGGATGACCCTCAGAAAAGAGAAAACAGAACGGGCTGCTCCGAAGGGCAAGGCATGCAATGCAAAAACGGAGACATCGCTCGTTTGATGATTCCAAAGCACCACATAGGACGCCCAGCGTGAGCCGTCACTCACGGCCAATTGCCGGTATGCCGATACTAAGTCATACGCCCTTCCCTCGTGCTGCTTGCCCGGCAAATGCCTCATGGTAGATGCGATCATGCCTGCTGCCACATCGACCGTATGTGGGGTAGGCGTCTCTTCCGCCTGCACAGTATCATTTATGCCTGACGCCGATAGGTCATCTATCAACCGAGTTTTATTGGGTTGGACTAAACCAAACCTACGCGAAACTATGGAGTTAGGGGGAAGGTGCTTGACTTCGATGGGGCCTGTGGCCCAGCCTTTATCAACTTCGGCCTGCGTCTGACGAAGAACCTCAGCATCCACTTCCTTGCCCTGGCTTCTGACCGATTGGAGGACAGCCTCGCGAACTACCGGTGCACATGATGCAAGGTCTTCAACCGTTCGCTTTGCAGGTCTAAATTTGGCGTTGAAGATGCCCGTGGCCGGCGCCTCACCCACTAAGTCAGTCCCCTTAATAGTTTCCTCAACAACGCCTACATCGGCGTATCCTGCCTCCTTAAGCATGGCCTGCCACACTAAGAGCCTCTTTGGTTGTAAAATCCTTTGCCGCTCCTTCGACATGCCTTCTTTGAGCTTGGCCTCGTCGGCTTTTAGATCCTGTGCAATTTTTAGCCATTTAGCGAAGAACTCTGCCCTGGCCTTTGCAATGTTTCCTGGGGCACTTTTCTTGCGCTGCAAGATGGCATCCTTGAGCACCTGTGGAATTGCTGCCTCCAGCGTACGAGGATGTCCAGACTCCAGAGCTTTAGTGAGGAATTCTTCCGGGCTCCACGGCACACCCCAAACAACGTCATTGAAGGCCACACCCCCTTTATCCGGCAGAGCATGAACTTTGAGGAGCTGGCTGTCCACTGGCAGTTCGGACAGGTCGGCGGATGCAGTCAGAGGTATGGGCCATGGCTCCTTGATGCGCCCGCAGAGCTGCACAGGCAGCTGGCACTAGCATGGGTGTTTTGGAGGCTTTAGGTTGAGCGGCCACAGCGGACTGGATTGCATGCAAGGGCAGAGCTACTGCGGCAGCGCCAGGCTTGCAGATTTGGGCAAAGACATGCGCGATTTCTCTGCAGAGGGCTACGGGGTATGCAGACTCGGCTGAAGTTGCGAAACCATTTGAAGCAGACGCAGAATTCCCCCATGCCAAATGCGTCGCCCGGCAAGCGGTACCTGGACAGACGGGATTTAGGGCGGCAAAAGCTGTGTGTTGCGAAGAAAAGGCCAACGCAGTCCATTTGTCTCTGCGAGACCCATACGCGCAATTCTGAAACGCGGTGAAGCTGAAGAGATGTTTGATTTTCAAGAAAGCACTGGTACGCCAGTAAAGGGATCGACGTGGGTTTTCAATAACCAGGACTAAACCCCTAGAGGCACCTACAAGGGCAAGGTTAGAGATTGCATGATACAAGGCATTGGCTTTGTTAACACGCAGCTGATCACTTAGTGAAAGATTGGCTAAGCCATTGGGTTCCTCTTCGGACCTGAGCGGTTTTGGGCCTTCAACTGATGCAATCTCCCTCGCTCTGCTTGCTGTGCCGCAGACAGGGGCTGCGAAGAATCCTGCGCAACGCGGGTGAAGGAGGAGCCTTTTGGCCAAGGCGAAGCCGTGCTCAGAGCAGAGATCTGCGATCTGAATGGCCATTTTGGCCCCAGGGATTCTGTTGTGATCGAAGGCAACGACATCGAAGTTGACCTCTATCAAGGCAGCAGACAGGCCTGCTGTTCCGGCACAGAGTTCCAGAACAAGTGGTTTACCGCTGTGTCCAAAGGGGGTGGACACAGGGGCTTCATCCTCCTCAGACATGGTCGGGCAGGGCGCATGTGTCTGCATGGATGCATGAAGGTCACCCGTGGCAAGAGCAGGCTGAAAGCCCAGCTGGGCAAGTTGATTGGCATGCGCAGGAGACAAACTACATAAGTTTTGCAGGCAATATGAAACCAGCACAATGCGTGAGCCAGACCAAGGCTCAGTGGCATGCAACGCTTTGCACGCTGGCAAGCGAAGTGCATTATTGCAGAAGGGCAGTACCTGGCCGGGCACCCGCGCACCATTGACGGACCTGACATCCGTGCCCTGGGCATCCTCGCACCAAACTCCGCCACCTGAGAATTCGGACATCTTAAACACATAATTGTCACAATGGGCGTTCGCCACATCTTTGTGAAAACCTGACGGGACATTGTCAAGTATGGCAATGCTTGAGAAAACAGCATCCGGCTGCTCCTGACGCACGTACCTGGCCAAAACCTCAGTACATGCTGGTAAGCGCTTGCACGCAGAGCGTAGACCCACAATGCCGCCCTTGCGATAGGCACCTGTGTAGAAGGCTGACCCGCACGCAGCGGAGTGAGGCTCCTCTTGCGGCAAAAGATGAATTAAGGCTAAGACTTGATTTCTCTCGACACGATCTTGAGCGAGCAAGCGAAGTGCCAACTCTTCGGGATCTGGAGCAGGCATGCAGGAGGATTCTGACTCCCCAGAGTCAGGTAGCAGAGGCCTTTTTAGGGGCCGTGTAGCACACACTTACGGTGTTACGATGCATGAAGAATTGTCGCGGCTCACTTTGGCAAAGTTGGGGTCTAGTCAACTCTTCGGGTGATCAACCATGCGGTGAGCGCCATAACAAATGGCACACACATGCTTGCCTTTTGCGCAGGCATCACCCAACTTGCACTCTCCAAGTGAGTAGTCAAAACAGATGCGGGAGCCATCTGGCGTCTCGGCTGTCCCACCTTTGCTGCGTATGCCCCACGGGATCTTGATCATGCTGCGGGCTGCCGGCTTGCCCTTGCCCTTTCCCTTGTTTTGACCCTGGCCTTTGGCAGCGCCCTTGGGCACCTTCGGGGCACGATCTGGCCAGGATTCTTTGCGCTTTGGCGGCTGTTGAGGCAGAGGCATCAACTCGAAGCTCACATCATAGCTTTCCAAAGTGGCCTGCAGCTTGGAGTCTAAGGGCAGAGGATCTCCAGGGTTGGGCCGAGGTTTTACATTCTGTTCGATAAGACGCGACCAACATAGCCTGTCAGCTTCGACTAGTTGGCGAATTGTGCACTTTAAATATCCAGGTTTTGCTTCGCGGCGCAGGTGGTTAAAGAGGGTATTGAGATACCGCTCGTAATTAGGCCAGTGAATGAGGTTGGCGAAGCAGAGTGCGAGCCCCCGCCTCCTTAGCGCATCAAACACGGCCATAGCACCATTGGTGGGAGCCTCCACTGGATCAGCGGCCTCCTTTATGACAAGCTTGCTGGCTTCAATGTCTACTTGCTTTGTGATTGGCTTGGACTGCGCCACTTCATACAGCCTTGACACACACTTCTCGGGTGCCAAGTAGACAATCTGATTGGAAGCCTCAATGCGAGCGGCTGCATCAAGGAAGCACCTTGCTGGTTCAAGATTCCCTTTGATGGTGATTCCAGGAAGGGAGCGCTTTAGGTTCTCGAGTCTGACCTCACGTTCAGCCTCCGGCATTTTCTGTTTACCGGACGCATCTGGATCGCTTACCTGGAGTCTCAAGGAAGCAACTGTCAAGGTCTGGCTCTCGAAGATCAAACGGCGCAGGCTGCTGATTTCCCCTATGGAAAAGCTGGCAAAGTGGGTGCTGCAGAAAATTGCAAAATCTGCCTCTGGCATAGGTACTCCCGGCTGGGAGACCATGTATGCGACTTGGCTCAACGTCTTGAACCCTCGATTTTTCAAGACCGTTACATTGGGGTCCGTGATTCCAGCTTCTTTGACTTTACGCTCAAAATGAGCCTCTGAGTCGAGGACGGAAACCATGGCTCGAGAGACTTCAGCGGCCACCTGGCAAATCAGGCATCCGTCAGCAGTAGCCCAAAACTCAGCGTCATAAGTACACTCATGTTGCAATCATAGCTTTGGAGCGGTTGGTTTTCATCAAACATTTCTCGCCTATGGGGCCGTGCCCCTCGAGGTGAAGGAGCATTTCTCCCATGTACATCAAACATTTCAGCGGCAGTTCAGCCCGCGATTGTACACACATGTTGCAAATAACATACATGTCCAATTCAACTGGACGGGGTCGTGTCCCCCCTTTGAAATCTGAGATACATTTCTCAGACGCGTGCACATCGCACAAGTCCCTGTGGGGGGACACATACGAGACATCCTCCTCTTGCACTGACATGGCGCACGATCACAAACAAAACTAGAGCTGCCTGCGGCAAGTCATACATACGCGGCCATCTAGATCAGCATCCAGTACAGCTCTGAACTGCGAGGAAATAGCACGACCGCAGCGCAACATGCGTTCGCCATACTTAAGGCGCAGCACGCCAGACTTGACATGAACCATCCAGCTACCCTGGGAGCTCTGCACTTCATTTCGAAAAGCGGGATCGCCTTACAATTTTTTTATTGAGCGCCAAAGACGTGCTCGAGGAGCTACTACTCGAGGAGGAGCTGCAGCTTTCTTCATGACCAGAGGCCGCGGAAGTTGGCTCGTCATCACGCAGGTCTCCTACGTTGGAAGGGCTAGGACTTACACCCCCGGCAGGAGGAGTGGCTTCAAGAAACCCATCCGCTCCGGGTGAGCGCTCAGACATGTCAACTTCATTAGGGGTGGCAGGCTCTGGCACACGTTGCACTGGAGGAAATTTCCAAAACTTGGACCTGGGTTCATCAGGCACAAACTCACCGGATGCAATGTAGCGCAGCAAGAGCTCAAAGCGCTGGACCGCTCCAATTGACAAGTCGTATGAGTACACTGCCTCAGTACCCCGAACACTATCGCTATGATGGCCAAGGACGCACTGGTCCTCCTTCGTCATGCCATATTTGCCGACCCAAGACAGGCCCGTATGCTTAAGGGAATGCGAAGTGATTTGCCGATCCCCAACACCCTTGGAGGACAGGAAAAGTTGCAGAAAGGTGGTTACTTCGCCGGTAGTGATAGGTCGGCTGGCAAGATCACCGTCGCGCTTGTACGGGCTTAGGAAAGGTTTGTCACACCGCTCTTCAAAACGAATTCCCAACCAATCAAACACTTGCCAAAGCTCATTCCCGAAAGGAAGGCCGTCGACTCCTGAAAGCGGCACAATCAACTCTTTTCTTCTGGGAGAGATTGGAAGTTTTGTGCCATCCGACCCTTAGCACTAAGTAGCCAGTACCGTCAGCTCCCACATCCCAAGTTGCGTCGTGAACGGCATCCAAGTCAGATACACGACAGCGCGCATAAATGCACACCAGACAAAAGAAGGCTAGAGCCCGGTCCATGTCCTGAGCTTCGCGATCTCTAGAGAAGATGCGCAAGGCCTGACATTCAGACACCAAAAGAGGGTCGGCTTGCTGCAGAAAAGTTTTGGTTGCTTGCATCTGCTCCGAAGATCTTACACACCTGCGTGAGATGATGTCAGCAGCACCTGGAAAGTCCAGCACATACTGCGCCCACCTGAGTGCTGAGAGCACATCGCCTGTCTGAGAGGTCTTCCCCTCAGCCTTTAGGTGCTGAAAGAATCTCCACAGCGTGGCTTCCGAGAAAATGCAATCTGGACTACACCCAATGGAACCACCTAATGAATCCTAGAAGAGCATTAGCCCTTTTAAGGATGGTGCCAGGCGCTTTGGTACCAAACGATGCACGCAAGGAGTCGACATGATCCTGGGTGGTGCTCGACGGGTCAGATGCATGAAACCTCCGGCATATGATTTCCCATTTGGAAAAAGCCTTGTCAATGTCAAATTCCCTTTTTGCGAGGAAATCCTTATCAGACAAATTTTTAAAGGCTTTAGAGAAGAATGCATTCCCTGGAAGCAAATCTGGGGGAGCATGCTTTTTCACACGGGGTTCTGCGGTAGAAGGCTGCACATCAGCTCCTAGGGGCACGGGCGCAGGTAGTGAGAAGTTCTCCAAAGGACCGTCACCAAATATATGAGCCATGATGCCCTGTTCCCAAGGAAAAAAAGGCACATCCCCTAGAATAGAACCCGAAGATAGCCCCCCATTACCCGCCATGCTGTGAGAGGAAGGCTGTCCTGCAATGACACCAGCTCAAAAAGTGATGCGCTCTCGAGCGGCGAGGCGCCGTGCAACACGAGAGACAGCTAGTGCCTGAGCCTGCAAGCCGGCTGCCTGGAGAGCCTGTTTACGCTCAAGCTGTTCCACGCGCAGACTGAGGTCCTGCACACTAGTGGAGAGGCTTGCAGAAATGTGCTCGAGGTTGTCAAAACGATCCTGGGCGAAGGCCTCTGAGCCCTTCAAAGCAACAACTTCAGATTGCAAGGCCCTGACTTGAAGCTGCACAGAATGAAGATGACGACTCACAAGGCTCGTGCTGCTAGCAGAATCCGACGATTCGTCACTGGGCTCGGTACCCTCTTCTGGCATCCGGCGGGATTACACCCCCTCCGCCTTGCACAAAGCTACCTTAAAACTCGCGAGCCTTGGGGCTTTTAGGTACACAGCTTAGAGAGCTTACGAAGGCTCACTGCAAAAATTTTCCTGGCTGAGAGCCACACATTGCAAGAACACAAGCATGCGCAAGTTTGATCCGGGAAACAAACTGGCTCAGACACATTATGGGGAAGAATTTTTGTTTTTCATTAGGCGCATAAAGAAAAATGGCTCAAACGAATTTTGGCCCCAAGCAAAATTCAACGCAGGCACAACAATAAAACACTCTCCCCTGTGCGGGGACGGGATGCATATACGCCCACCTGTGTGTGAGTGCGGCCACATACGTCTCTGTGTGTGCACAGGTGTGTATGTGTGCGCGCGCACAACACATGCCAGTTTTCATGCGCAGTCATGTGCGCGCGCAAGACCAGGGCGACAAATGTCACGCGCATACGCACGCGGGCGAAGGCCCACGCGCACACGCGCCCACCTGTACGCACGTGCACACATGTGAGCGCGCAAACGCGAGTCCGTCTACCTGCGTGCACGCGTCTGAATGTGCGCAACGCAGGTACCCTGCACACATACACACAGCTGCATGGACACGCACGCGCACGTCGGAGAATGCACGTACGCGAACGGCCGCCGCTGATGCACGCGCTAGCTAGAGTAGCGCACGCGCAAAGACACATTTGCGCACACAAATGTATGTGTGACAGCACATCTGTTGGCGCGCAGGCGCGCGTGTACGCACATACACGACACACACATATACATTTAACCTGAAGACACGCATGCGCAGAACGACGCGAAAGAACGCTTGCAAAAAACATCTGCTTCTGTTTTGATTGATCCCTGCCCGCCAGTGCGATGATCCTCTTCCCACGGCAAGGAGCTGTCGAAGCACGCATGCACTCTTTCTCCTGTGACTCTTACCAACGGGGGACGATGACCATTGGACTTTCAGCCTTTTATGGCCGTGATGATCCAAAGACGGAGCTGGTTGAGTTTGTGTCATCTGAGTGAATCACAGGATGCGCTTGTCATGAATCACGTGACTTTACTGGAGCGCCTGGCGGAGACTCCAATCAACTGTGCTGTTGGTCACCTGTGTCTTCGAACCCCCCGCAAGTGCCTAACGATGCTCTGCATGGCCTGCAGGGTGTGCCCATAAGGTCAAAGTAAAAGCTTCTCTGGCAGCACGAGGCGCTAAAGGAGGTTTCTGGGTTCGCGAAGTTGAGTATGGAGTTGTCCAGAAGCCTGAGGTTGTCTGAGAGAAAGCGTTACTTGCATCAAATCTCAAAGCAGTTGCAACCATCCTGACAAAAGGTGTGGAAGTAAAAAGTGTAAGTCTGCAACCAAATACCCGACCCCTACGCCTATAACACTCTTACTAAATGAGGCGTAACAGCGGCTTGCTTCATGGCGCAGGAGAGCAGAGCAGCACGCGTCCTCTTCCTCCATTCTGACTGACCTAGCAGACGAACAGTTTCTGCAGGCGGCGGTGCAAAGATTCACATACTTGCTGCACAAAAATGCCAAGCCTGAGAGGTCTGCAAATAGCCTGCCGGACAACGTCACGCGGTATCAATGTCCGTACGGCGGAGCACAGTCAGCCTCCCGACGCCTCAACAGAACGCACCTGTCAAAAAACCATGGCATTAATCCTCCAGCCGTCACGGGAGGATCTTCGACAGAAAATTGCACGCAGGTCAGGCCAATCGGTCTACCAACCTGCGTGCTCTGCAAGAAATCATTCTCGCACTGGAAAGCACGAGAGACCCACGTGATCAAAGGTCATTGCATCAACATAGACTGCCAGCAACCTCTTCGGCAGGCTGACCTGGCAGGAGGACCAACAGATGAAGGTAGAAGAAACCAACTTGCAAGGAACCAACGCTCACGGAACGCTCACGGAACTCTGGCTGGCCATCTAGACGATCATTCAGCACTACTGCGCCACGACCAGGGCATCACGAGGGTGAAGTTGGATACTTGCTTCCGCCTGCGCACGCAGACAAGACCGCGGTCCATCAATGCGGAATTGCACCGAGACGCAAACAAGCGGAAGACGGTCTAGGAGAGCACGGAAGCCGATCTCAGCATGAGTCTACGGGAGACGCTGATGAGGTCACCCCTTGCAGAGATGCGCACGAGCTTGGTGAAGTTCCATCACCAGAGCGACTCCCGGCATTGCGCTTGGTCCAAGGACTGGCTGAACCAGGAGGGCAGATGGCAGTACGCCAGATGGGACGCGGCGCGTCAAACTTAAAAGTGGGCAAAAGCAGATGAGCTCCCCTTCCACACAGGAGATCATAGACGATCTCGACCAGATCACCAAGGAGCTTCACTTGACGGTTCACAGGTTCCATTCGACCAGGCCTTTCTTCGAGCATCCGGAAACAGACTCAGCCCAGTTCATCTTCAAGATATCCTTGTGGGAGAGTGGACACCGGATCAACTCCGTTCTGCGCAAGCGGGTGAACACCCTCGTCTTGCAGATCGTAGGCATCAATCAAGTTCAGACAGGAGAGACAGGTCCAGTCCGGCCTATCTCAGACCGTCTGACAAGCACTGTGAGGCGCGACACTCAGTCCAGCAAGCAATGGCCCATTCTGCAGTTCGGCCTGGGTAACCCACACAATCACTGCTACGTGAATCACGATCAGCTCAACCCCATCTACCAACAACTAATTAGGACCCAAAAGATGACTTTTCACGCGCTCAATCCTCTGGTCTCACATCATCACGGCGCGGAATCAACCACATGCACAACACGACGCAGCAGAATT